TTTGGGAAGGGGGCGGAGTTGGGGCAGGGGCGTGGGCGGGGCTGGGGGCGGGGCCGGGGCCCCATGGAGTGTCCTCCATTTGGAGGCACAACATATGGTAACCCTACACTTACCGGAGGGTCCGGCGGCAGGCAATCGGTTTTCTGGGATCGACTTATCGCGTCTAGTGAAGACGCGATAAAATCGATCCCTGATCGCTCTGCCGTCGACTCCGGAAATCCACCGCGGCAAGAGGCGGCAGCGGAGTCGACGGCAGCGGTCGACTTTCCCCCGTCCTCACAGCCAGGTAAGTCGACCTAAAATACGCAACTTCAGCTACGGTATTCACGTAGCTGAAGTTGCGTATCTTAGGTCGGACCCCCGCTGTAGTGTAGACCTAGCCTTAGTGTTCTCTGCTAAAACCATCTTTGGGCATCTCCTTTTGCACGTGGCACAATCCTGCACCAGGAAATTCTTGAATGGAAGGGAAGAGTTTTGTCTACATAGGGACACTCAAGAAAGTTAATCTGCATTAACTAAAGATATGAATTTAAAGTGGGTTAATTAAATTACATTAAACTCCTGTGTGGACACTCCTATTCAGAATTAGAGTGGCCTTAATTGGATTACGATTATATCACTTCAGTGAATTAAGATAAATTGAATTAAGGCCACTTTAATTCTGAATAAGAATGTCCACACAGGTTTAATATAGTTTAACTAATCCACTTTAAAAATTATTTGGATTAAGTTTCCTGAGTGCGCCTATGTAGAGAAGCCCTAAGTGTGTCTCACTCAGTGTGGGGATTAGCTGGCCACCTGCTCCTTCACTCCAGAGCAGGTGTTCTGGTCTCTTGACCTTGGAGTTATGTACTCTGCTTTTTTTTTTCTTTTTCTTTTTTGGCACACCTAAGCCTGAGCATCTGAGAAAGTCAAAGCAAAATCAATATGACCCAATCCTGCAGCTCCGGTTACTTATTAGAGATGTCTGCCTTGGTTAGGTGTGCTGCTGGCTATTTTGTGCAACTGCCTGAGCTCACAAGCAGCTTGCAGTTCACAGGAAAGCTAGCAGGCATTCATTCCTCACTGAGGCAATGGGTTGCACAAGATCCCAAAGGGATGAGAAACCCTTTGTAGTGTGCCCGTAGAGCAAGAAAATGGGGCTGTCACGCCATAAGAAGATGACCTTGCTGATCAACCCCAATGTATGTGTAACCCGGCCTACGCAGCCTGACTGTGTATTCCTCTGGTGGCTAGTCCATGTGTATGAGTCTGCTACAGCCTTGGAGCTGTGGAAGCAGGATTCTTCAGCATAGGCTGCAGAGGCTCTTCAACTCAGTTATTCTCTGTGATCTAGCTACTAGGTGGAGACAGAGAGCCACATACGGTATTACACCTGTCCCATTCCTGATCCAAGTCTGGTGTATCACCCATTTCACCACCACTCCATGGATAGTCACCTGATTTAATTTGCCTCCTCTTCCCTCAGGTCACGTTTGAATTCATCCCGCAGCACCTGGGTACCACAGAATCGTTTTGGACCTTTACAATCCCTGAACAGAACATCTCAGTCCCATTCCTGTTGGTGGGCAACACCACCGACCCCTCAGTATCGCTGGACAGATCCCACCTGAACTATTTCTCTCTGTTAGTCGGTAAGGACAGACTCTGTGTCCCGCACTATGGGAGCCAGTGATTGCTGCTACCTTCCACTTTTCTCTCCATTCAAAAATGTAGTGTTCTATAGTTACTGTTGATCCTAATTCTGTTATTTAACATTAAAAAAATAGAGGCTGAAAGTGGAAAAGAGCACTTCAAAGGAGAAAGACAATTTCTGTCCATCTCTCTTCGGGTTTATATTGCTGCCCATCACCTTAGTATCTGAGCACCTTCCATGTAAAACAATAGCAATGTTCAGCAGCAGTCAAAGAAGCTAATGTCAGGAACCCTTAGGAACGGGATAGATAATAAGACAGAATATGTCATAATGCCACTATATAAATCCATGATACTCCCACAACTTGAATACTGCATGCAGTTCTGGTTGCCCAGTTTCAAAAAAGATATATTAGAATTGGAAAAGGTCCAGAGAAAGGCAACAAAAATGATTAGGGGTACGGAACAGCTTCCATATGAGGAGAAATTTAAAAGACTAGGACTTTTCAGCTTAGAAAATAGACAACTAAGAGGGAGGGATCTGATAGAGGTCTATAAAATCATGATTGGTGTGGAGAAAGTGACGAAGGGAATGTTATTTACCCCTTCACATAACACAAGCACCCAGGGTCACCCAATGAAATTAACATGCAGCAAGTTTAAAACAAACAAAAGGAAGTACTTCACACAATGCACAGTCAACCTGTGGAACTCATTGCCAGGGGATGTTGCGAAGGCCACAAGTGTAACTGGGTTCAGCAGAGAATTAGATAAGAATTAGATAGATAGGTCCATCAGTGCCAGGGATGCCACTCCATGCTCAGGGTGTCCCTAAACCTCTGACTACCAGAAGCTGGGACTGGACGAGAGGGGACGGATCACTCGATAATTGCCCTGTTCTCTTTGTTCCCTCTGAAGCATCTGGTACCAACCACTGTCACAAGACAGAATCCTGGGCTAGATAAACCATTGGTCTGACCCAGTGTGGCCGCTCTTATGTTCTTAATAGCAAAGATCCTAGTTGATTTCATGCAACACCTGGCATTTCTCCCTTTTCAGGCTCAGAACTCTGCATGGGGCAGTGTTGGGTTTTTTGTTTGTTCTTTGAAGATTTTATTCATTTATTGTTGGTTGGTTGGTTGGTAGGGGTTTAAGGGTAGAAGGGGTGTCAGATTTCAAATTTCTCAAGCAAAGCTGCTTATTAGTGGTGAGTGAGACATAGCAACTGGGGAAGAGGGAGGGTGGAGTAAAGAATGGGTTAAAGAAGAGATTTCCGATGTGTTCCATAGAGTTTCTGTTGTCAGCTGAATCCCAGTCCATCCATTCATCCACCAGTACAGTATGTGAGTGTGTGTCAAGGGGTTGGTCCCATGTAAAGGTTTCATTGGTTCATGCCTGGTGTGGGGACATTCGTGAGCGATTTTCGTTGGTAACCCCAGCTGAGTGCCTGCAAGACCCATGTCAGGCCATATGCACTAGCTGGCATTCGTGCATTTTAGAGAAAAGCTGCTTTGGCAAAATGTTTAGAGTTTTGGAAATTGTTGTCAGGGCTATTTTACCCATCCCATCTCCTTGCTCATTAAATGTAATCAAGCTGTGCTGTCAAACTGGGATGGGACGTCTACACTGCAGCTGGGAGGGAGCCTCACAGCCCAGGGAGACAGAGACGCGTGAGCGCCACTTGAGCTAGAGTGCTAAAAACAGCAGTGTGGATGCTGCGGCTGTGGTGGAGACTGGGGCTGGCCACCCACGCTTAGACCAGGGGGTGGGCGAGCTGGAGGGCCTGAGCTGCTTCCCAAGCTGCAATGCTAGCTTGTGCTCTCTCAGTTCCAGCCTAGACGTACCCTTAGTCCCTGGCTATGCACAACCGGGTCTGGTCCATGACTGGGGCTCCTAGGTGCTACCACAATACAAAATACCAATAATTATACTGATGAGGGTACCGAATTCTGGGTTAGCTCGGATGCTGTATTTCTCATGCGCAGCTCAATGATAGACAGCCGTGTTGTTCACTAGCATCCCTAGTGATTCCCTCCGCCTGTATAGAAGTTTAATTTATTTTACATTCTGCATTAACTATGCTTCTCCGGCAGGGGGAGCTTTTTGCCTTGCCCTTTCCACCTGCAGCACATCTGGCCTAGTAAAAAAGACTTGGACAAGCCATGCACTTTTCTATGAGATAGATGAGTGGTGGCTGATTCCATGCCAACCTGCCAGGAGAACTAAAGGTTTGCTGTCTCCTTCCTGTGTTTCCTCCAAAGGACATGAGGCCCACAAGACGGTTCACATGATTAACAACGAGAATGAGACCTTCAGCTTTGCTTTCAGAGACTCCTCGCGCTATTCAGAGGGACACATTAACTACCTAACAGTGCAGCCCATGGAGGGCTGCATTCCACCTCTTTCCAGGTAAAGGGACAGAGCATGTCTAGGGCTCACAGGGCTAGATTGTGGCTCCCAAGCACAGTGCTGTGTTATCTGCATTGTTAGATTCCTTCCACGCTGTACAGTGGTTTCACCTCACGGCATCAGCTCTTACGCAGCCAGCAGGCAGCTCTCGGTGGGACACGCTGGTTCCTCTTCTTACCTAGTCAGTCTCCCCGTTCGCATTCAGGGTCAGATCTGCTGCCTTAGTGATGCCTTTAGAGATTGCTGCTGTTTTTTACTCCTGTTAGCCCTAAAGCCAGCACAGCTCTGGGGGTATCTACACTGGAGCTAGAGGTGTAATTTCCAGCTCCATTAGAGATTCCCACCTAGCTCTCTGATCAAGCTGGTGCACTAAAAATAGCAGTGTAGCTGCGGCTGCCTGGGTGGTTGGATGGGATAGCCGTCCAAGCACCCGAAAGCCTATTTACATATGTGGCAACTAGCCCGTCATGCTGCCCATGCGGCGGAGACACTGCTATTTTTAGCAGGCTACCTCAGTCAGAGCTAGCACAGGTATGTCTACTCAAGCTGGAAGTTACATCTCCAGTTCCAGTGCTGTAACACACAGCTGGAGATACCCAGAGCTGTGAGCCACTATTACCCCTATGCCTCTGCAAGAGTGAGCTTTGCTGGAGAGGAGAGGAGAGCAGACTGTCAGCTCCCTGCCACACCAGCCTGTCCCCATCACCAGCAAACTCCTCAAGGCTCTCCCAGCCCAGACAGAGATCAGAGGAGTAGTCACATTAGTCTGTATCCACAAAAACAACGAGGAGTCCGGTGGCACCTTAAAGACTAACAGATTTATTTGGGCATAAGCTTTCATGGGTAAAACCCCACTTCTTCAGATGCAGCCAGACCAGCCCAGACCTCGCCCAGCGGGTAACACTCAGTGAACACCAGCCCTCGAGCCCATCAGAGATGGTTCTCTGCGATGCACAGCCCCTACCACTGTACATGCACAGAAGATACTAAGTTTGCGGCTCTATCAGAGTCATCACATTACAGCTTATTTACAGGGGTAAATGCACCTTTCCCTTCAAACCCAGCACAGAGTTGGTTTATATGAAAAATAAAACAAGTTTATTAACAAAAGGCTATAGGTTAAGTGATACCAAGTAGAAGGAATAAAGGTAGAAAGAGTTACAAACAGACAGAAGTACAAATGCCCTTTCTAATGGCTAACTCCTAACTGAACAAGCTACAGCCTTTCTACAAGGTACTTTCCTCACCCATCTTCTTTTCCCAGCAATGGCTGGCTTGCTTTCAGCGATGTTCCCTGCAGAGTCCAAGGTGCTGGTTCTCCTTGTCTCCTCAGGTGAAAGACGATCCAGAGTCTTTCTGTGTGTTCTTATGTCCCAATCTGCCTTTGTTGCAAGGATCAAACTGATCCCCTGAGGTTCAGTCTCCCATCTACTCTGGGGGTCGACTCCATCTTGATTAATGTGTCCCCTGGTGTGTTCCACAGTGACACGTCCTGCTGCAGTTTTACAGTGTAAGGCCATGTCTACACAAGCACTTATGTCAGCAAAACTTTTGTCGCTCAGGAGTGTGAAAAAACACACCCCTAAGTTTTGCTGGTATAACCGCTCGTGTGCACAGTGCTGTGTCGGCAGGACACGCTCTACCACTGCTCGTTACACTGCTTTTATTATGTTGACGGGAGAGCTCTCTCCCCTTTGCTTATGTAACTGCGTTATGCCATCTTACAGCGGCACAGCTGTATTGGTACAATGTAGACATGACCTTCATGTTCTCTTCCTGCACTGTGACCTCCAATGCAAATGAATAGCCCATTGAATTTGGCCACACCTGCTTTGAGATGTTAGCCTCTTTCCTTTGTCTTGAGAAAACCTGTTTAGCAACTCTCCCTGATGTGCCTGGTTAAAACACCTTTTAGTTACCGACTTTAAAGCTTAATTTCAGTGAGTAGTCACAATTCCACTCACTGCATTTTACAATGATAGTACTGACCACCATGCTACCTCACTAGGCGTACTTTGTACCAATATCATTGCAGTAGTGTGTGGGGTGTGAACACGGGTGCCTAGGGTCACAAGTATAGACAAGCTGGAGTCTCTTCCTTGTCTCCCTTCCAGCTACAAGGCCATTCAGTCATTTACACCTGTGCACGCCCATTGAAAGCAGCAGGGCTGCCCAGGTAGCACTGAGGACATCCTTTGAATTCAGTGGGACTATACAGGTGTTACCAAGGCCATCATTTGGCCTGCAAAAGCTTTATTTCTGGTGATGATGCATGAGAAGGACAGATCCCAGCGTGAGGCAAGGCTGAGTTTGCCAGGTTGCCAGTCAGAAAACACATCTTCTGGCTTGTAAACCAAGCATTTGATCTGGAAATGACTGAGGGATGATAAAAATGGAGCCACTGAGCCTGGTGACATTTCTGTAGAGTCACTTTCCAGAGCAGCACCACGCTTCAAGAGCTGCATGGTTCTTTGAAGTCACTGCAGGGTGCTCACGCTTGTAGCTGCCTGATTTTTAATCTCCCTTTTAGATGTGTTCTCTTCTAACTTTTTGAGCATGTGACACATTGAAAAAGGAAAGAATGCTCAGTCTCCGTGTTCCCTTTTGTTTCCATCACTTCCCTGGCTCGCCACTGCCATGGCAGTACCATGGGGAAATAGTCTACCTGTGAACTCACGTTGGTTTAAATAAAGTTGTTCTTGTTTTTAAGAACAGTTTATTGATCTGCACTTTCCTCAGAGCCTTCTGCTGACCTGTAAGGGAGGCATGTGGGTGTCCTGACCTTTGATCTCATTTGATCCTGGCCCTTAGACATTGACTGCCTCCTGTGAGGGTCTGAACTCCCATCAAAGTCAATGGGAGTTGAGAGTCCTCATCAATCCCCAGGAGCTATCTATTGTGACATAGCAGGGTACAATCCAGACCAATGAATAGCTGTCACCCCTGCCCTCTAACCTGGGGTGCCCTTCACAATGCCTTGCTACGGTTTGCCCCCAGCATGCCAGTCACTCCCAGCTACGTCTGGGTGTGTGCTGCAGCCAGCCAGCCCCACCTTGGCTCTTACCAGCCTTAAAAATTACCACAGGGTGACCCCAGCACACTCCCAGTCCTAGATTTTCCCCAGAAATGTTTCTCCTGTACTGCCCAGCCCTCCCCTGGACAGTGCAATTATACTGAGTCTGTTATTCCATTAAGGGAATAATATGCACACAACTTGTTACCCCTAATGGAGTTTTCCAGGCACTTCAATTTAACATACTGCATTAGATAAAATAATAAAACAAGTTTATTAATTAGAAAGCGGGAGATTTTAAGTGAGTCCAAGCAACGAGGCATAAAAGTCAGAAATGGTTACAAAAAATAAAGATAAAACACTTGTTAATGCCTAACCTATGGATTCGAGCAGAGTTCCTCACCACCTGCTCCAGCCGATGACTGACCAAACTCTCAGTCAGGATTCCTCCCCCAGAGTCCAACGCTTGCTTCCTTTGTCTCTTCAGATGCAGTGAATGCAATAGACAGGGAGAGAGCGACGGGTGCCTTGCGGGGTTTGTCTCTCCTGTTTATAGTGTCAGTCCCCCTCTTGAAAAAAATTTCCAGCTGAGACCAGGAGCCAGAGAGTCTATCTAGACAGATGTTCCCTGCTGGTTTTTTCATCTGTTTGAACTTCCTTTGTCTTCCCTTCCTGCTTGATGACTCTGTTTACTGCTCAAATGCAAATTCAGACAAGCCCACATTCCTCTGTTTAGGACCGACCTGTTTGCCAACATCTGTGTGGGCAGGGCTGTGGGGTTTGGAAGGTGTATTAATAACACCGTACAGGTGAATCTTATCACATCACATACAATGTTTCTGCACATAATTTACCAAGACAATCCGGACCAGCAAATTATGAGTTTGCCAGTGATACCTCACAAGGCATACATTGTACAAAGATGATTACGCTAGTGTGGAGGCTGTGAATATAGGGGAATATTCTCCCACACCTGTCTTAGGTATCTATCTGGCCCCATTACCATCATACCTGAGCACCTCAAAACCCTTCACGTGTTGATCCTTCACACACCCTGGTGAGGCAAGGCAGGGCTCTTATCCCTGTTTTACAGATGGGGAGCTGAAGCAGAGAAAGACTAAATGACTTGCCCCAGGTCACCCCTGGGACAGAGCACGGAATTAAACTCGGTTTCCCTGTGTCCCACGCTAGTGCCCCAACCACGGGGCCATTCTTCCTCGTTTGCTCACAACCTCTAGTGCAATAGAGTTCCAAGAGCCAGCAAATAAAGCCGCAGTGTTCATCTCCCCAGGCTTCCTGTTACCATCCTCTTCACACCAACGTTGGAGGGGGAGGTGAACTTTAACCTCATCTGTGATGTCAAGAGAAAGACCCAGCCGCTCTCCTTAAACGTCAAAGCCATTGGCTACAGCATGAACGTGTGCGTCAGGTGCGAAGAAAACGACGGCTTGTTCACCGAGCTGAGTCTGCAGGAGAGCAGCAGCATCAACTTTGAGGAGGTGAGAGGGTGAAGACGGGGTGGGGGGGGAGGAGAGGGTGAAAAGCGCCCAGACAGCTGCAGCCCTCACCATGCTATGGCGCTTTGTGAGATGGTCTCAGGAGAACGCAGCTGTGGGGCAGTAAAAACAGGCCCGCCAGGAGAGCGCCCACCCTGCCCATCACAGAGCAGATGTAGCCACATGCGGCTGGGGCTGGTGGAAGTGTCCTTGCCATGCCTTGCTGAGACAGCTGACAGTCAGTTTGCTCTTGGTGTGCAGACCTTCCCAGCTAACCCCACACCCAATGGTCACTTCCAGCCAACTTGCTTTGTCTTGCCTTAGACTCATCGATTTAAAGCCAGATGGGACCATTATTGTCATCTAGTCAGACCTCAATCTACCATTTTGACTGTAAGCTCCTAGAGGCAAAGGCCCACTGTCCATGTGTTCTCTGCACGCTTGTGGCGCTATATCTTGCTCCCACTCTTGTGAAACACTACATGGCACCTGCTTCACTGTGACGCTGGCAACTCCAAAGTTCCCTACCAAGCATCCTTAGCATGAAAAGTGATCCTGCTGCAGCGAGAAAGGACTCTATAAAAGGGACGGACCAATCTGCAGTGGGGGGGAAGGTTAGGGCCACTGTGGTGACTACTGCTGCATTGGGGTCCAAGCGGGATGCTTCAGAAGGGATTTAGGAGCACACGTCCCAGTGTATTGGGCACTTCTGAAAATCTTCCACAGTCTTCAGTGAAATAGCAACAAACTCAGGGCCTGATCCTGGCAACCCTTTCTCACATGAGCAGCCGTTACCCCAAGGAATCCTTTCAGATCAGGCCCTAAGCAAGGCATTTCACAAGCCCTTCTGTGCCTAGCACTTCAGCTGTACATGGCCCAGCACAATTGCAGAAGAGCCCAGGATAATGCAAATGGTGCTAGATCCTTGCTGGATCCCATGCTATCAACAGGGCGAAATGGTGTCTTCCCAGAAAGAAAAGTGATGAAGATAGAGGAATATTGCAGGTCACGATGGAGGTGCACAGAGTTGGGTGGGTGAGACATGCCCTGCATATATTTTCATTGGTGCTGTTGGTACAATGATTTTGTGAGGATCAGATTTCACTTTAAACCAAGTACGTGTGCTATAAAACAGTGTAGCGGGGTGAACACCCGCTCCTGCCCTGAGGGGTTGGAAAAGCCCTGCAGAGGGCTGGGGCTGGGCAAGGTAAAACCCTGGCTGATTGGGGGAAGTGGCTGCAGCTGGGCCACACCCTAATCAGAGCCCAGATGGCCGGTATAAAGAGGCTGGGAGCCAGGAGCTCAAGAGTCTCTCTCTGCCTTCAGAGAGAGAAGGGCCTGGCTGCAGGGAGCTAGACACAGAGTACCTGGGTGGAGCAGGGCTGGGGAAAGGCTGAGGAGCTGGGGAGCTCCAGCCTGGAAAGCCCCAGGCTGCGGCCTAGGAGAAGGCTAAGGGGTACTGGGGGTTGCAGAGGGCATCCCAGGGGTAGGCCAAGGTAGCAGGTCCAAACTCCCCTTGCCAGTGATGAGTGGCCTATACTGCAATCTGCCCCAGAGAGTGGGGGCTAGATGGGGACTGTCAGTGGCCTTATCCTGAGGTGGGGTTAGTGGGAGGGGAGACCTAGTGTGTGTGTGGGTATTGCCTGCAGCACGCAGGGCAAGGGGCACCGGGGTCCTGGGAGGGACACGGAGGCCAGAGAAGAGGACAAGGTGGATCACCGGCCTGCAGAGGGCGCTCCAGAGGCTGGCGAGCTAATTCCCTGGCTGCCCAGCAGGAGGCACCGCAAGGGTGAGTCCGGACCCTCTTACAGACAGCAACAAGTGTTAGAGACTCTGGGAATAGCTGCCCGATGGATCTTCAGCATAGTAGTCCAGTGCATTACCAGGCCCCATGCATTTCCCAGCTGTGGAGCTCACTGGACAAGCCTGTCCTGAGCAGCTGTGGTCCATCCAAGCTGTCGCGCTGTAGAGAACTGTGTTCACAGACATGTACAGGCATCCTGGCTCTGTGCGCCTAGCTCCAATCCCCGCTGATGAGTGTGCTGTTTGGTGGTGCATTGCATAGGCAGTAAGAGCCCAAGCCCTCTCTCTGGCTCAGGACTGCCTAGGTTTTCTGTCCATTCATGTTGGGTTTGCCAGCCCTTCAGGTATTAACCCTGTGTGTGCTCTCCTCCTGCATACAGGTGGAAATAAACGACTCTGCTTACCGCAACTTCTGTGTCCTGAACACTGGCAAGTTCAATTTCAGCTTCTCGTGGGAGTTTTCCGGCCCCAAAGCACTGCAGCACTACCTCTCCATCACCCCCGAGAACGGCACTGTGGAGGCAGGAGAGCGAGTACAGGCCCAGCTGACCTTCCACCCACTGAAGACATGCATCTTAAAGGACATGGAGCTTAAGCTAAAGGTCAGGGCGGGAGTGTCATGCTCTCCTCCCTGCAGGGCACAAAAGCCAGGCAAACCCTTTTGGCAGGGGAGAGCTTGCTAGAGCAAAGCCGGAATTAGATCTCACATTGAAAAACAGGGCACCCCACCTGGCTCCACCCTGGGCAGCTGAGCTGAATGTACAACAAGCTGCAGGCCTGGGACCATCCAAGGTAGCGGATGGCGCCCACCAAAAGCAGAGTCTGATTCCACCATAGTACCTAGGGGCACTGACATGGCGTCTACAGGGACCTTCCTGTTAGACACCTGCTGGGGAGCAAGACTCTGGTGGCTGTGGCTTGTGCTGCAAACTGACAGCCACCAAAATCTGTATAAAGCCAGTGATGAAATTCCCCTTAAATGTTAACTCATGAAGCCAAGGGATCTCTCTTTTCACACCCCATTTTCAGTTCCCGCTGCATAAGCTTTTCTGGGCTGTCACCACTGCAGGTTCCCATGGATGCTGGTCTCCCACTTCTGGGCAGCAGCATCTGTGTGAATGCAGCCCAGGTATGACTGGGTCACTCTTCCTGGCAAATTCTTCAGCAAGGCACCTTGTGGCCTGTTCTCTCCCCAGATCAGCAACGGGCCCACGTTTAGCTGCATGCTCCTGGCTTCTGTGGTGATGCCCACCATCCACTTCTCCTTTACCAAGCTTGACTTCGGAACCTGCTTCATCTACTACGCCGGGATGCCCCCTGCCAGACACATCCTTACCATCACAAACAAGGAGGCCAAGGAGATTAGGTAGGGCAGCAGTGGGACACTAGCTCCCCATGTTAGCTCCTTCCCTGGTCCAAGTCCGAGAGTGCAGAGTTTGAGCATGGATCTCCCACATCCCAGATGAGCGCCCTAGTCACCGGGCTATTGGCTATTCTGGGGGGAGAGTCTCTGTCTTTGGATTTGGCCAGAAATTCCATCCTGGCCTTGATAAACCTTCCCAATGAACGTTTCATAGAGACCAATCCTTTCCCAGGACAGATCAGAATTTTCCCACAGAAAACCATTTTATCAAAGAAATCCTGACCATTGCTACGCATATGCCCCATGAACCAGGGCAGTGCTGTTATTCCCATTGTACAGATGGGGGAACTGTGGCACAGAGCGGCTCAGTGACATGCCCAAGGTCACACAGGAAGTCTATGGCAGAGGAGGGAAGCGAACCCATGTCTCCCCAGTCCCTATCTAGCACCCTCGCCACTGGGCCATTTTCCTAGGGCGAGAGGGCAGGTGCTTCTGTAGTCAGCTTCCAAATTGCCTAATAGGCACATAAATCACACAGAAAAGGACCCATTTTCCTAGGTGAGAGACCCTCTTTTCTGTTTTCATGTGAGCTAAGAGGGTGCCTTCAATCACTGACCTGTATGAAAGAAGTGCATTCAGCCGGGGGAGTCCTGCCAGGCGTTTTCCCTCAGGATGATCTGAAGATGCCCGTATTTACTTCCCTTTGGGGTTATGTTCATCAGAACAGACCCAATTCAACCCTGCTGGCATTAAGCAGACCCAGCGTCTGTTGTCATCAGGCTGGATTTGTCTCCGTATGCAGAGCTAGCAGAGCTGGGTGGACCACTGGCAACTCCTCTGGATAAAAATGAATGGATACAGTCAAAGCGGGAGGGGGGACAGCTCTCAGCTACTGAACGTTCACCAGCCAAACATTCCAAAAAGTTTTTTTCTGGCCTTCCACAGCTTAGACTGCTTGTACACCAACACTGCCCACTTTGAGGTGAGCTTCCAGGCTGAAGTGCTGAGTCCAGGAGGGAAGATGGAGGTGCCAATCACTTTCTATCCCCGAGAGGCCGTTTCCTACCACGATATCATCCCCTTTGAAATCAATGGGCTTTCCCAACAGACCATTGAGGTCCTGGGGAAGGGCACGGAGATGAAGGTGAGATCAGACCACTGTTCTCTAGCTCCATATATCACACAGTCAGAGTGAATTTCTTTCTCCTTTCCTCAGTCATCCACCCTTTGCCATTCTCCTTCCCCTTTCCCCCGTTCCCTCGTTACTGATGCTCGCGCCTTCCCCATCCTGTTGTTCTTCTCCTGCCCACAGATTGACATCTTGGAACCGCCCAGCAAAGTGGTGAGATTGGGCGCGCTGTCTGTTGGACAAACTATGAAGAAGACTGTCACAATAGTGAACAATAGTGTTGCCCTTCTCACTTTTAACCTAACTTTCATGTTCACTGTTCCCGAGCTCCTGGAATCTAAGGTAAGGCCTGTTCTTCAACTGGAGTGCTCTTTATCTTGCCACTTATTTGTTATTTGTACTGCCAGTGTAGCGAGGAGCCCAGTCATGGCTAGGTGCTGTAGGTTGTCTGACCTAGTGGGTAGCTATTATTAGAGTTTACAGGCAAGATAACATGGTCTGGCAGAGCTCAGCTGCCGAGAGACTGGCCACAGCGTTACAGGTAGTTGGGGAGTGAGTCTCCCACTGTATGCGGCAGAGACGCTCACCCTTAGGAAGACCTGCAGAACTCGCAATTGTTTTATTGCAATATCACAAACACTACAATGTAGCAAAGTAGACAGAGAGAATATAATCCCCAGAACTTGCATTCTCACACCATGAGAATGCAAGTCTCATGGTCTTTGGACACAGCCCTTGAGTAGGTAAGATGACCCACGAGAGGTCCTTGCCCTGGCAGGGTCCAGGAATGCCTGGACAGAGTGCCACCTTGAATCATAGATGATGCTAACGCCTAACTCGTATTCAGTAGGGTTCTCGGCCACTTTTCCTTATCCATTTCCTCACCCTACTGTTGTTTGGGTACCCTTCTTCCATAGGTTACTAGGCCGTTTACTTCAAGCTTATTAGCAAATACATCCATCAGTTACTGTGGCATTCTTGTGACTGGACATCTGCTGTATATATCTAAAGCTGGTATAAACGCACCTTGTGATTACTTGTCAGCAGTTCAGCAACACTTGCTTATAACAGCACTCTGTCTTGTGACGACCTGTGATATAGGGTCACTTACTGGTTAGTTGCTTACATAGACGATTCATGTCTCCCCATACCGGAGGGGGACAATCTAAAGGGGAGGACACGTGACTGCCCCACATGTCTCCGCTGCCCAGAGACCTCCCCCGTGCCCAGCACAGGGCCACTGAGCTCTCCTCACCCCACGTTACCTGCCCAAGGGGGGCTCTGTCCTTCTTCCGCTGCACTTGCCCCCAGCATGTTCGGCTGCTCTCCCGGACAGCTGGGCCGGGCAGGGAGCAGGAGGGAGCCGCTTCTCACATGGCTGAAGCTGGCCGCTCCCGGTCGCTGCTCTGTGCAGCGCAGCAGCTGCCTGAGAGAGCCTGGCTGGGGAGGCTGAGGCGGCGGCCTGCCTGGGCTCAACTGCCAGTGATGGGCCAAGCATGCCGGGGAAGGGGGCTCTGGCTCGCTCAGCCCCTGTCCCCAGCAGCTTGGCCTGGGTTGGGGGCAGCCCGCCGTTGCCACCTCTCCAGCCAGGCGCTCTCAGGCAGCTGCTGCACTGCACAGAGCAGGGACCCAGCAGCTGGCGTGAGAAATGTCTGGGCCTGCAGGGACAGGTGCCGAATGTGCCGGGGGGCAGGCGCAGCGTGAGAAGGACAGCGCCCCTCTCCCTCCCCCCACCCAGCAGACCAGTCTGGGGGGCACGTTACTCTGCACACACCCCCACGCATCATCTTTGGTTGCTAATGTTGAGTCTTTAGGCCTTAGTTACTTTGGCTAAGCTATTATATTACAGGCTTGAGGCCTGTAGGCTTTTGCATGACTGCTTTGAGCCATACCTAGATCTTATTTATCATGTACCCATGTAGCTATAGTACCATAGCTGGCTGCATGTACAATCACTAAAAGGCTGGTCCCTGCCCAAAAGATCTTGGATTCCTTTGTGCTGGTTAATTGAACATATAGACTCCAAGGTTAGGTTACAGGCTTCCTGGACATGCAAGACAATGACTTTGAGATCTACAGTAGTAACTAGTCCATCTGCTGTGAGGGTAACTAGGTTCCCATCCTGAGAGCTCCTTCTGCGCTAGCTTAGCGTATGAATTCATACAGTAATCACCCATGGACTCATAGTAAAATGTCATCAATCCAAAGCCTTTGACCTAAGGACTTTGGATTTTCCATCACTCTGAGAGCACTGAATCACAGATGCTAAAGGGTTAAAGCAGAATATGTTCAAACAGTCCATGGAGATTGTGACCCAGCCTTACCTTCTTCAGGGTTTCCACTTCCCTGTTCTGAATTATATGTTTCAGTGTTGTTTGCCAGCAGGAAAGGGACAGAAGGGCTCTGGGGATTAATAGGGTCTGGTGCCTTGCACCTCTACAGTGCACGTTCAAATCCAGCTCCGGCTAGAACTGACCAGAAATCTCTGCTGGCCGGAGGCTATTTTGTGACATGTGTGAAATGACTCAGTCCAGTTTCCTGTGAACAAGTGTTAATAGCATAAGAAAACACACCCCTGCAATTGGCTCTAATTGTTTCCTTTATTGCCAGTCTTAGCAAATCAGCTAAGGTATGAATTAGCCCTGGAGACTGAATTACCCTGTGACCCCTAAAGTTGATTTCTCCAGGTCAAGAATGAGGCACATTAATACATCCCAGCTACCAATCCCAATCTGGACAAATACCTCATAATCCACCTCCCGGCTACTAATTCCCTCCCCAGCCACTAACCATCTCCGACCTGCAGATTTGCCTCCTTCCTCCCCTTTCCCAGACTAGAGCTCCAAACCATTTCCCAGCTGTCAGAATCCTTCCTGAAAACTCCAGGCACATTTCCCCACTAGAATTGCTGCCAGCCCCTGAGCACCCCGATTCCAGGTGTGATTCTCCGGGAAAAGACACAGCATTCTAAGGAGCAATAAAGAAATGACTCTTCAGTATGATACAGTCCCCAGGCCAGACCCTCCTGGAAGCTGTGACCAGAACTCCAGGATGGGGAGAGCAGTGGGACTTGAATGGACTAAAACATATTGAAGAGGACGGATAACAGCTTCTCTCAAGCATTAAGGGTTAGAGGGGTTCTGCCTAGGGTAGAGGTGGGCTTGGGCAAAGGCTCCATCTACAAATTCCCACCACTGAACCTGGAGGAGATGCAGATCTGGATTTGAATTTTGAGTTTCAGTCCCAGCTATGGGTTAGGTTTGTTTATGGAGTTAGGTAACAACCACATGGGACATGAACAGTGAACACTGACAAATAGAAGAGGAAGTTTGCTCCAATGGTCCAGTTCTGCCATTGACTCATTACTGAATCTTGTGTGACTTTGGACAAGTCACTTAACCTCTCTTTGTGACTCAGTATCTCCTTCTGTAAACTAAAGCTAACTCACCTGCCAGGGGTCTGTGAAGCATTTCGAGATCCTTGGCTGGAAGATGCTATGGAAGAGCAAGTATTTTCCCTCCTTCCCACCCATCCACCAAACAGGTCCATTCTTGGCATAGATGTAACGGCAGCTGAGTAGAGGCCCTGTAGGGACATACTACTCCAGGGGGCGATTGGGATTGGGCTAATAATGATGGGAGCAGCACAGGAATGAAACTAAGCAGTTCTGGGGAAGCTCTCCTGCTCCTCTCAATAGCTCTTGAGGGCTGTGTTCCCAGTGGTCAAACATCACATTTGGCCATCTGTCTGGGCAGGTTCTCAGCTTGTCTCCATCCAGCGACATAACTCTGAAGCCCAAAGGGGGCACCTGCAGCGTAGAGGTGACTTTCTCCCCAAAGTGCCGCATCCCGCTGTTCGCAGAGGAGGTGATGCTCGAGTGCATGGGGCTGCTGCGCTCCTTCTTCGTGGTGCGGGGCTGCTGCCAGGGCATTGAAGTGAGCTTGGACCAGGATCATATCCCCTTTGGAGCAGTGGTGCAGCGGAGCCAGGCTTCCCGGCGCGTCCTCATGCAGAACACAGGAGACATAGGAGTCAGGTGATGTAGCGTCCTCGCACAAGGCCTATTCCACTGCGGGTTTGTGGTGAGCCTGAGCCCCAGGAGATCTTTACTTGAGCCGTGCTGTCCCCAGAACCCAGAGATAGCAGAACAGTATGTAGCATGCCTCCCTACAGGCCCGGTTCTGTAGCCCCCAATGTTGTTGAGATACTCACGCAAGCCAAATCATCCCGTTTAACTCGGTGCCAGTGCTCGCTGCCGCGTGAGTAAGGGCAGCAGACTCAGGACCTACATGTCTGTGAAGGCCCATAGCCACCTTTCATGCTATTGCAGCTGTGCCCAAGGGCTGTATCTATGTCTGCCTGACAGCACAGAAAGTCATAGAGATGCTTAGAGAACCCTGCTCCCATCTTTCCCAGCCCGGCTGGGATGCACTGTGAGCCCAGCTTTAAATGTCTCCTTTTCTTCTTTGTGCTTTTCTTGGAAAGATTTAAATGGGACATCAAGAGCTTTGAGCCAGATTTCTCCATCAGCCCGGTGGAGGGCTACATCTCCCCAGGAATGGAAGTCCCCTTCGAAGTGACCTTTCATCCCTGTGAGCTGAACCCGGATATCCACTATGACAACCTGCAGTGCTGCATCCAGGGCAGCGAAGCGCTCAAGCTCACTCTGGCTGGCTGCTGCGTGGTGGTGCCTATGACAAAAGAGGTGACCTTAGCCGAGAGGGACCCGCCGCGCCATTCCCAAGTCCAGCCTAGAAGCTGGCTCGGTTCCCAACCCAGCAGTGTAGCTGCGGATGCACAGCATCTTCCCCCAGTGTCCAAATGGGAACAGCAATAGCACAGGTGGAATCTGCTGCAGGACAGAGCTTTAATTCTAGGACGAGGTCCAAGTGAGGATCTTAAACTTCTGTAATGACATGGACACTCATGCCCAGCTCTGTCGCTCCAGTGTAGGCCTGCCAGCACCTTGTGAGGGGAGAGCCATGAATGGGAACTCTGGCACCGGCCCCCTGAGTTCCAAAAGCAGAACTCAGACCAAACCAAGCAGCCAGTCCACCAAGAGGACTGTAATTGATGTCTGCACATTCTGCAGCACTTACAGTGAGTAGCCCCCCTGCCTTCGGCAGGCCTGCTTGTGTTAATAAGGACTGCAGAATTGGGCCCTCCGTGAAAATCTGCAAAATGCTCTTATAAGGGAGAGCTCTGTTTCTGTGTTTATACATGCCCGCCTCCCTGTCTGTCCTCCACCCCTCTCCCTTTCGTGTCTTTGCATATGGGTGAGGAGTACCTGCACCCCCACACACCACAATGCCATCGGTGAATGGAATGGATTCCCTACAGGGGATGAGGTCTCTCTCTGTTCCTCTGTTGCAGGTGATGAATTTCACGTGTCAGGTGCGTGGAAAACACACCCAGACTATCATGCTGTCCAACCGGAGCAACCAGTCATGGAACCTGCAGCCCATCATTGAGGGGGAACAATGGAAAGGGCCTGAATTCATCAGGGTAGAGGCCCATCAGCAAAACAAGCCCTACGAGATCACTTACAGACCCCTCACCATGAACGTGGAGAACAAGAAGCATCAGGTACGTGAGCTGTGGAGGTGTGAGAGCACTGGCAGCCATTTCTTTTATTGCACCAGACCTTTGTAACCACTGCTAGAGACCTGATAACACAGAGCACTAATTCTGGGAGAGTAACCGGTGTATCAGATTAGCAACTACAAGCTTTAAAACAAAGATTTTCAGAGGATTTGAGTGTTGAAATGAGCCCCATCCTTCCGGGTGATGTCATAAGAACACAAGAATGGCCATACTGGGTCAGACCAATGGTCCCTCTACCCCAGTAGTCATATCTGACAGTGGACAATGCCAGATGCTTCAGAGGGAATGCCAGACCAGGCAGTCATGGAGTGATCCATCCCCATCACCCATTCCCAGCTTCTGGCTAACAGAGGCTAGGGACACTTCAGAGCATGGTTTTGCATCCCTGCCCATCCTGGCTAATAGCCATTGATGGACCTATCCTCCATGAACTTATTTCTTTTCTGAACCCTGGTATAGTCTTGGCCTTCACAACATCATGTCATGGTATCCCTTGCACTGAGATCCCCCATCTGGGAGAAGGGACACCAGTTATTAGGGAGAGACAGGTAATAGTAATGAAGAAATCAATTATTATAAATATAGATCGCTGGGTTTGTGATGACTGGGAGAACCGCATGCTGAATTGCCTGCTGGGTGCAAAGGTTGCGGACCTCTCAATACACCTAGATACACTTACTTGCAGTGCTGGGGCAGATCCAGTGATCATGATACATGTAGGTACTAATGACACAGGGAAAAGTAGGAGAGAGGTCCTGGAGGCAAAATTTAGATTAAAGTCCAGGACCTCCACAATAGCGTTCTCTGAAATGCTCACAGAGCTGAGAAGACAGGCAGAACTACAGGGTCTCAATGCATGGATTAGACAATGGCGTTCGGAGGAGGGACTTAGATTTATTAGGAACTGGGGATCCTTTGGGGGAAGGGGGAGCCTATACAGGAAGTATGGGCTCCACCTAAACCAAAACAGAGCCGAATTGCTGGCATGTAAAATTAAAATTAATCATGGTCGTAGAGCAATTTTTCAACTAAGGGCTGGGGAAAAGCCGACAGGTGCGGAGCAGCACGTGGTTCTGACTTCCATAGGGGAGGATTTATTAACGGGGATTCTCCTAGTAAAGAGGAGAAGATAGAAGTTGATAAGGTACAGGTAGGAACTGAAGAGAAACAGTCAACCAAAAAAGTTGTTACATCCCAGGAAGGCAGACAACTACATACAGTATTGACAAATGTTATATATGCTTGTGTGCAAATGCTAGAAGTCTAAATACCAAGATGGGTGAACATGAGTGCCTGGTACTAAATGAGCATATTGATATACTAGGCATCACAGAAACTTGGTGGAATGATGTTAATCAATGGGACACAGTGATACCAGGGTACAAAATATATCAGAAGGACAGAGCGGGTTGTGCAGGTGGGGGATGGCACTATATGTGAAAGTGAGCACAGGGTCAACAACAGTAAAAATCTGAATCAGTACCATCAAATCTCTGTGATAGAAATTCCATGCTTTAATAAGAATATAGCAGTAGGAAATGTACCAACCACCTGACCAGGATAGTGATGGTGACTGTGAAATGCTCAGGGAGATTAGAGAGACTACAAAAACAGAAAACCCAATAATAATGGGGGATTTCAGCTATCCCCCTATTGACTGGGAACATGACACCGCAGGATAGGATGCAGAGATAAAATTTCGAGACACCATTAATAACTGCTTCTTGGAGTGGCTAGTCCTGGAACACACAAGGGGAGAGGCAAGTCTTAATTTAGTCATAAGTGGAGAACAGGATTTGGTTCAGTGGGTGAATATAGCTGAACCGCTCATTAATAGTGACCATAATGTAATTAAATTTAACATCCTTTTAGGAGGAAAAATATCAAAGAAACAGCCCCAGTAGCATTTACCTTCAGAAAGGGGAACTACACCCAAATGAGGAAGCTAGTTACATGGAAATTAAAAGGAACAGTCACAAGAGTACAAAAATACCTGCAAGCTGCATAGAAACGTTTTAAAACCACCGTAATAGAGGCTCAAAGTAAACATATTCCTCACATTAAAAAAAACCCAGCAAGAGGATCAAAAAAATGCCACCATGGCTGAACGACCGAGTAGAAGAAGTGGTTAGATACTAAAAGGCGTCCTTTAAAAATCGGAAGTCAAATCCTACTGAGGAAAATAGAAAGGAGCATAAACTCTGGCAAGTCAAGTGTAAAAGTATAATTAGGGAGGCCAAAAAACAATATGAAGAGCAACTAGCAAAAGACACAAAAACTAAAAGCAACATTTTTTTAAAGTACATCAGAAGTAGGAAGTCTGCCAAACACTCAGTGGGGCCACGGGATGGTTGAGCTGCTAACGGTGCACTCAAGGAAGACAAGGCCACTGCAGAGAAGCTAAATGAATTCTTTGCATTGGTGTTCACTGCTGAGGATATGGGGGAGATCCCCACACCTGAGGGATTCTTTTTAGGTGACAAATCTAAGGAACTGTCCAAGGTTGAGGGGTCAATAGAGGAGGCTTTGGAACAAATTGATAAATTAAACAGTAATAAGTCACTGGGACCAGTTCCGAAGGAACTCAAATATGAAATTGCAGAACTCCTAACTGTGGTATGTAACCTATTGCTTAAATCAGCCTCTGTACCAGATGACTGGAATGTAAAGCCAATTGTTTTAAAAGGCTCCAGAGGCGATCCTGGCAATTGCCGGTAAGCCTAATTTCAGTACCAGACAGATTGGTTGAAACTAGAGTAAAGAAGAGAATTATCAGACACAGTTGTGACCAGGGACCAGAGGGGCCACCCTGAGGATATTCAATTAGGGCAAAGTGCAAAGAATGGGGCAGACAATTCCCAATACTTAGATCCACCAAGTTAGCCACAGAAGAGGTTCTATAATATCTTACTGGTTACACAGACATCAAAACACAATTCCCTTAAAAGCAACCCAGCCTTTGGGCTCCCTCCCGACAGCCCAGTCGAATATGAAAGTTCTACCAATCCCGAAAGATCAGATACATGACCTCCCAGGTTAATGACTATTTCAGATCTTACCCAAATACACGCTTATAGCAAATACACGCTTATTAACTAAACTAAAATTTATTGAAAAAGAAAAGCGAGTGAGTATTGGTTAAAAGATCAGTATCCATACAGACATGAGTCCCGTTCTGAGATCAGTATCCATACAGACATGAGTACCGTTCTGAGATCAGTTTCAGAGCAGAGATGGGGAGCTTTGGAGTTGCATATAGTTCTTAGAATTAGTCCATAGGTTCAGGCCAATGTTCCATACACAGGGTGATCCAGATGGGACTGGAGATCTCAGTCTTATGACTCAACCTTCCCCCGCATGAAGCATCCAGCAGATCTGAGAGAAAGGATCAGGTCCCAAGAGTTTTTGTACAGTTTTCTGGTAGGCTGCGATAGCCTCTTTACAGCAGGGGTTCCTTGGGTGAAAAATAGCAGCTCTGAAGTAGAACTAACTATCTTCTATGCATACCCAAGTAATTAGTTGCATTCATCAGCATAAGGTAATTATCCATTAAGCAGTTTACAGACAATTTACCACAAACTTTAAGGTGAAATATAGACAATGGTGTTATCACTCCCACATTTCATCTAAATGTTAATATTCCCTTTTGATCTCTGAATCAATAGACTATCAGGCTTGGAAGGAGGTCACCTAGTCCAACCCCCTGCTCAAAGCGGGACCAATCCCCAGACAAATTTTTACCCCAGTTCCCCAAATGCGCCCCCCCACCCCAATTGAACACTCAACCCTGGGTTTAGTCGGCCAATACTCAAACCACTGAGCTATCCCTCCCTGCTAGCTATAGTGACAGCAGGAATTGTCTGTTTACATGGCTAACATCTAGCAAGCTATAAGTAAACACATACAATTAGTATCACCTCCAATTCTCTAACAATACAGGTTTGCGTTTCAGAGCGCTAGTCCGTTTAGCATGGCTATACTAACTATTTCTTGGAATTGCCCTAATTACCATTTACATACTTTTCTAACATGTCTATAAAGGTTGAATTCGGGTCATTTACCCTGCTGGTTGCTTACTGGCCCAGCATCACAACAGTATATTGGGAAGAGTCAACCTGGCTTTGGTGAAGGGAAATCATGCCTCACCAATCTATTAGAATTCTTTGAGGGTGTCAACAAGCATGTGGACAATGGCGATCCACTCGATAGAGTGTACTTCGACTTTCAGAAAGCCTTTGGCAAGGTCCTCACCAAAGGCTCATAAGCAACATAGGCTGTCATGGGATAAGAGAGAAGGTCCTCTCATGGATCGCTAACTGGCTCAAAGATAGGAAACAAAAGGGAGGAATAAATGTCAGTTTTCACAGTGGAGACAGGTAAATAGCCGGGTACCCCTGGGGTTTTTAAATAGCAGTATCTGTACTGGGACCAGTGCTGGTCAACTTATGAATAGGGGTAAACAGTGAAGTGTCAAAGTTTGCAGACAATACAAAATTACTCAAGATGGACTGGTAAAGTCCAAAGCTCACTGTGAAGAGTTACAAAGGGAACTTGCGAAACTGGGTGACTGGGCAAGAAAATGGCAGATGAAATTCAGTGTTGATCAATGCAAAGTGATGCACATTGGAAAACATAATCCCAACTCTACATATAAACTGATAGGGTCTAACTTAGCTGTTGTTGAGAGAGAGATCTTGGAGTCATCGTTGATAGTTCTCTGAAAACATTTGCTCAATATGCAGTGGCTGTTAAAGAAGCGAACAGAATATTAGGAACCATTAAGAAAGGGATAGAGCATCCGAACATATCAGAATGCCACTACTGCATGCGGTTCTGGTAGCCTCGTCTCAAAAAAGATTTACTAGAATTGGAAAAAGTACAGAGAAGGGCAACAAAAATGATTAGGGGGATGGATCCGCTTCCATGTGAGGAGAGATGGAAAAAGCCTGGGACTGTTCAGCTTGGAAAAGAGAAGCCGGAGGAGGGATACGATTGAGGTCTATAAAATCATGACTGGACTTAGCTGCTAGTCCGTGCTGCCCAGACATCTCTGCTGCTGTTCTCAGAGCTAGCTAGATCAGGGCTCACTTGGGTATGGCTGCACATGCCGCAGTCACCCCTCACCGTGTAGACAGACTTTGAGCTACTGAACCAGGACTGCACCAGGTGTGGCTCCTTTCACAGAGAGCTGCTGTTGCTGCCTGAATTAAGCACTGTGTCCCATTAAAAGGCCTCTCCGAGATGTCCCACACACTTGGAGGTCACAGCCACTGCCCCAAGCAGGTTTGCTGGGGAATCTTTCTGCTGGCCTGAGGATGCCAACCTGCAGACTACTAGCAGCAACCTGGGAGGTGAAGGGAAGGGCGGGTGTGCAGGGGAAGCAGGCTGTGAATCAGGAGTGAGGACAGAGGGAGGCTGCACTCTCTCACCTGGGGAATCTGCAGGAGAGAGGCTTGTATGGGAGCTGGAGCATCATGGCAGGGATAACAAGGGCCGTGGGAGAAAGCTCACCATCCCCCAGCTTTATTAGCAATGGTGACTGCCAAGACTACTGCTAAGGCAACAGCTGGAGACTTTGGGGGGCAGATCTGCACAGAGTACAGCTCCTTTTGCACTCCCCTGCTGCTGCTGCATCTCTGGGCACGGCCAGTCCCTCTGCCAGCTGTGCACAGCCCCAAAGTGTCCGTACCGCACTGAGAATCAGCATTGTGCACTGACAGCCTGACCCCGCCTGCTTTTCTCCAGCCATGCGGCCACCTCTCCTCTGTCCCACCAGCAGGAGGGGTGAGCGGGAGAGCAGGAGCCCCTTCTATTGATTCTTCACAGCTGCAGGATCAGCCGTGCACTGGGGTGCGTCTGTATAGGCTGGTGGAAATGGCCGGCTTACCCTGGCAGTGCAGCACAGAGCAGTTGTCCTCATACCAGCAGCTCTGGCCCATATATGTATGTGCTCAGGAGCAGAGAAGCTGAACAGGGGCCCGTGAAGGCAGGGGAACCTACCAACCTTCTGCATTGTTTCTAGGGCTCCATCTTCTTTCCGCTCCCCGATGGGACAGGTTTGCTGTACCTCCTGCAGGGGACTGCAGAGCCCCCTAAGTCTTCAGGGACCATTGTCCGAGAGGTGCCATGCAAAACTACCTACACTGAATTGCTCCCCATCGCGAACTGGCTGAACAAGCCACAAAGGTAAACTGGGAACGGCCGAGCTGTTCACAGCTAGCAGCACGAGAGGGGCTTTCCAGGCTAGCTGCATCACTGGTGTTACCCTAACAACTCCCAGCCACCAGCCTGTGTGTGCTGTGACTCGGGTTCCCAGAAAGCCTCTGGGAGATTGTCTAGGCCACAAGTTTGCAGGCACTCAGACTGGCCTTTATTCCTGTCTCAGGAAGCATGGATCTGGCTGACAGCTATGCTTTGGGAGGGTTTATGCCAATAAACTCCATTTCCCTCCCCATAGTAGCCGGGGGGAAATTTGCCCAACAGTTTGGCAGGGCAAGAGCTTTCTAGAAACAATACATGATTAGGCCTTCAGCTAGCTTGTCACGGGGACGTCACCCATCCCCGCCATCTGTAATAACCCCCTGCTTAGTCACTCCCTCTGATCCATCACATACCACCCCAAGGGCTGATCAGACTGTGGCCTAGGAGCCCTGTGCTCCAGGGACTGCCCGGCTAGATCAGAGCCGGCGTCCATTGCCCTGGCTCATAGGTACCAACTTCCCCTCTGCCCCATGGGTGCTCGACCCCCAGCCACTCCTGGCCCCACCCCAACTCCACCCCCTTCCCCCAAGTACCCGCCCCTGTTCCCCCTTTTTACTGCCTCCTCCCCAGAGCGCGCCATGTCCCCACTCCTCCCCCTCCCTTCCGGAAAGTCCTAAGCGCCGCCAAACAGCTGTTAGGCGGCAGGCGGGAAGCGCTGGGAGGGGGAGGGGCAGGGATGCAGTGTGCTCAGGGGAGGGGGTGGGGGCAGGGGGAGCTTGGCTGCCGGTAGGTGCAGAGCACCCGCTAATTTTTCCCCATGGGTGCTCCAGCCCCACAGCACCCACGGAGTGGGTGCCTATGCCCTAGCTTATGCACTTTCCCCTTGGGGTTCAGGAGATCCCACAGACCCTTGCCTGTTAAATAACAATGGACTCTACAGGTCAAGATGATAAGGCCCCATCTGTGTTTCTTATAGATCAGTGAAATGAACCAACGGGATTTGGTCCATCCTCATGTGAATTCAGACGGGTCACATGCTGGGCCGTCCTGTGGGGTGGGCCGTATGGGCCCCCGCCCGAGGGGGCGCCGTGCGCAGGGTTGGATTCCCACCTGACCTGCTGCCGAGAGCCAGCTGGGCTGGCGGGGGCGGCAGGCGGGCGAGCAGCAGCCGGGGGCGGGGGCACTTGGAGGAACAGCCTAGGAGCCAGGTGACTCCTCCGGAGCAGGGGTGCCCCTCCCCTCCCCCCGCTACAAGTGCTCAGCCGTTGCTGTTCCTGCCCCCCCCACACACACACACCCTGTCCCTGGAGGGCCCTTGGCCACTCTGCACTGGGAGCGTCTCCTGTCTGCTCTGCGGGGGGGGGAGCTGATGGCAGGGTGTCCCCCTCCCCCCACCCGTGTACCCGATTTCCCTAAGCTGGGGGGACGGGTTCAGGCTCCTGACCCAGAGTGATTTCTTAAAGAGACAGCGCAGTCACTCACTCAGGTACACACACACACTGCCCTCAACACAATACACACTGTCACACACTGCCCTCATTGTCACACACTGCCCTCAACACACACACCAGGGCTCCCTGCATCCAGGTCCCTTTCCCCACCTGGGCTGTGCTGAGGCATCAGGAGCTGCTGCTGTCCTGCCCTCCCCTTACGCAGCCGGCAGGGAAAGTGCCCTGGATGCAGGGAGCCCTGACGGCTCCTTGCTCCCCCCTCCCAGCCCCCCCAGGGCTGCGCGGAGCGGAGGCGCAGCAGTGCAATGGGGGAGCGAGCAGCAGTGCCAGCTGCTTCGTGCATGCAGGTCAGGTTCCCCACGTGGGTGCAGGAGGGGGATGCAGGGGTTGGGGGCACAGGAGGGAGGGGCAGGGGCTGGGGTGAAGGGGCACAGTGCAGGGGTT